TATCCCTCAAGGGATGATCACTTGATGGGAGAAATGCCCCAACAATCGTGCTAATCAATCTTGAAATCTTGCCCTGGAAGCTCTTTTAATCAAATGTGGTTTATAATACCTGATTTATTTTCAATTTATAATCTTCTCTGTAGATTAAGGACTAACGATTTGTGTGTGTTTGTTTACTTTAGCGCAGCCATCGCTGATTTCTACAGCATGTCCTATCTGTGGTTCAGTGCCTTGTCTGTTCTCACTTCCTTTAGCATTGGTTGCATAATGAGCTTCATTCTTGGTGAGTTCATTTTCAGGTGGCTGGAGCCCACTGACATCATGCACTTTCCATTACAATATAGGCCCCGAAGAAGGTTGACTCTAGAAGTTTTAAAGCATTTGCCAATAAAGCCTTCGCTTTGCCATGGTGCCAGAACGCAAAAAAGATTGGTTTTAATTACTAGCGCATTTTTTAATTGAGGGTAGAAAGTAGCCAATCAGATGCAAAATTAACACCACGTGCGACTTGTTCACTAACGTTTTCCCGCGCTTCAGGCACGCGCAGTTAACTTATTTCTGGGCATCTGCTTTCTGCGCTTGGTGCTAGATCCTTGTATGCCGCTGCACCATGTTTATGGAATAGTTTTCCAGGAAAATTGCTTGCTATCCCATCATTGACAATTATTAAACGCAATGGTAAGACCTACCTTTTTAGTCAGGTTTTTCTTTTTATTATTTTATCTGATTTGTTTTGTTTTACTGTAAGTCTCATTTACCTCTTACATGGTATACTTAGATTCTTTAGAATAATTTTATGGTTGAATCATAGTAAAGCGCTACTGATCATTTCTATGTAAATAGTGCTATAGAAATACTCGAATTACTATTGGTATGGACTTGGAGCTTTCGTTGGCTTCCTGTAATTCTTCCCTTTCTTCTCTTTGGTCAATGTGAGTACTTTGGGTTTGATTTTACGACACTCAGAGTCTAAGTGGAAGGAGCAGGGTTGGCGTAGTGGTGAGAGCGCTCGCCTTCCACCAATGTGTCTCGGGTTCGATTCCCGGACCCTGCGTCATAGGTGGATTGAGTTTGTTGGTTCTCTACTCTGCTCCAAGAGGTTTTTCTCCGGGTACTCCGGTTTTCCCCTCTCCTCAAAAACCATCATCATTTGAGTTTATTTAATTTAGAGTTTATTTGGATTTACACACGACCCCACAAGCTGTTCAGCTTTAAACATTATTGTGTCTAAATAAAGGTGTTATTATTATTATTATTATTATTATTATTATTATTATTAGTTTCGTAGAGTGGTATGTAAAACTAAAAGATATCTATCAGTCTAATAACGATTCTGTATTGAATTTAAGAAACAAAGGAGGACAGGGAGAGAGAGATTGACCCTAAGCTGCTGTTCCCGTTGAAGGAATGGCTGTGGTCCTTCCTTCCCGGCCATTCTTTCAAATGGGACTTCGAGGATGAGGAGGAGGAGGAAGATGAAGTAGTGCCTATTCATGACGATGTAAGACACTTTAATGTTTCTATTCCCAGTTTACAAAATTTGGAATCAAATTAAGTGAGTGAACTCTCCTTTAACAAAGTCACCCAAATTAAAAATCTCTAGATCAATCGATATTCAGGAGAAGCAACTATACTCATTATAGCTTCAAGCTTCAGAAACTCGGATAAGCGGCTACCTTGGGAGTATCTTCTGTTCAACCTCGTTCCCAGGGCCTTTTCCCCAACTAAGGAAAAAGGCCCTGAGAACGAGGTTGTCTTCTGTTGGGAGAAAATGACACGACAAAGTGATATGCAAAAATGATACGCAAAGCTCGACAAGGATCTACCGAGAAGGAGGGGGGAACAAAGTTTGTTTAACCCCCCTCTCGTCAATAAAGTTACACTTCATAACAATACAACAACATGAGGGGCCCAAAATACCAGACAGTAAAGTGCTAGTAGGACCCCACGCCCCTCTTTCCTCATTACATCCCCCCCACGTGGAACATCCTGTTACGTCACTGCGCAGTCTATAAATTTTCTTCCGCTTTTCAGAAATTTTACACCATAATGAGATTGATACAGTCTTTGTAACTTTGCAGGAGATCAAGATCAACTGGGATGAGACTCCACCGGTAGATTCGAAAGGCAAACAGGAAAAACACGAAATGGGAAACTTGTACACCAATAATCTGATAGAGAATGGAAAAATGTAATGACACTAGACGCATTTCCATTTCCATTGCTGTCTCCAACTCCTTTGTTTATAAGTGATTTGAAGTTTAGTTTAAGCGTTTTTTTTTTTTTTCTTTGCGCGAGCTAGCTGTTGCTATTTAGCTTTGTAAAATAATTACCATTTTCAGCAATAAAAGATGGCGTTTATGTCGACAGTAATCTGGGATAATTTTGTAAACGGGAGCAGAAAAAGTTAAAAAAAATTATAGAATTCTTTGCTTAGCTTCTGTCTCGCCTCATAAGCTATTTTTGGAAGTACACGGCTGTTCTTCAACCTAGAGCTTGAGCTGTTTTATTTAGACGAAAATATTTTAACTTGCTAAATCCATCGAAAAAGTAATGAATTCAGCGAGCATTGCAGATTAGTGTTAGATGCCGGCTTACTGTCATCCGAGAGGTGGCCTGTTAAAACAGATCACATTTTTTTGTATCAAAAATGAAATGGTGAAGTCCAAAGTTCTTCTATCATTTCTTAGATAAATAAGGAATTAAATATAAATTAACAATTTCGATGCATTAAATAATTACAGAACGAGTCGATGCGTGTAATAGGCAGCGGCAACATCGGTCAGACATAAATTTTTATGTTTACTCATTTTCAACGATTTTTTCCTGACGAGAATTGACTTTGATGGTCTTCTTGAGCAACAACTGAATAAACAGTTTGAAATCTGTCACTTTCATTATAATTCTAGCTCATTATCAGAAACCTCATACTCTATTAGGTGGAGCCGATCCAAAGTTCACAAATACCGATGAAGGGTTTTGCTCCATGTTATCAGCAGTTGCGTTTTAATTTTACGTTCACACCTCGGAGACCGATCATTCACCTAGTGTTTCGTTTTTAACATTTCAATTGTGCTTATCGATAAGCGTTGATTACTACTATCAATCGCTCTCACTTGCCTCCAGAAATAATGCAAGGAAGAAATAATTTAGATCAGAACAGGCCTGAGAGTGAATAACGCGGCTAGTTCGCCATAAGCTGACTGAAATGAATGGTCCAAGATATGGGTGATGTGAGTGGTTTTCAAGGTCGTTAAAATTCTCCGCTTCTAGGAGGGAAGCATTAAATAGTTTACGAAGGCATACTTTTAAAAAGAGTTTAGAACAAATGGAAGGAAACAGAGCAATGAAGACTGTTCAGGACTACGAATGGCGAACGAAAAACTTAGACCACATTGCTCAATGTACAAAACGTGACGCAGATCCCATAATGACGATTTGTTTATTTCCAGCTATTAAAAAAGCGCTCTTGAAGTGAGGGATTATAATACCACAGCTTAAAAAAACAAACCAACATCGTTAGTACTTCAAAAATTAATATTTGTCGGTCACGTTCAAAATCAATGGCTCTTTGTCGCGCATAGTTTCGCAACCGAGTTGGTAAGAATCGAAGTATCTAGTACAAGTAAGACGATTGAAGTATAATCTTGGATGATCGCCACAGCTCTCAATGTAACGAAAAATGTACTTATGAGGGCTTATCGTTCTAATAGTCAGTAGCTGGAAAGCTTATAAGATATAAGAACTGAATCAGAGCAGATTTCTACAAATTAAAAGATATGATCATATGGAACAAAGTTCAGAGCTGATCGGCGCGATTATTTATGTCCAAACCACTTTACCAGGGAGCTATATTTTTCAATTTTTCGCCGGCAATGTAGACCGCAGAAATTTAAATTTCAAAACAAAGGAAATCAGGAGTGAATGAGTTCGTGACGTTTTTATTTTCACTATATAATTTACTTCCGGTCGTCAAACTTTTTCTGCTGTTAACGCCCGAATCGGCATGACTACAGAAATGTAAAAGTTTATTAAAATCATATCTGATACGATGAATATATGAAGTTCATATATTCATCGTGCATCATACGAAAATCATATCTCTTTGAGGTATGGATGGGTTATATATATTACGATCGAGTTTTGACTGGCTTTCATTCAAGCACATTGTTTTAAAATGTGTTAATTAAGCATTTAACTCAAAAACTGCGCTAGCCTTGTGTAAGACTTGATTGCTTAGTTTTAGAAATTTCTATTCTCTTAATTTTTATTCTAGAAGCGAACCATGTACAGCTTCTTCTCGATGCTGTTGCTGGCTCTGACGTAAAGTAGAGAATAGGCACCTTCAGTTTCCAATTTCGTAAATAGTACCGTAGATGCAAGCACCACATTCTAGTCGAAAGGGCAGAATACTAGGATTTTAATATCGCGTGATTTACAAGTGGCAAAATTACAAATTACAAATTAAGCATGTTCATCATATCCGGCGACTGTGATTGGGCGTAGACTACTCCAGAAAGTCTGAGGAATCAATGCTGGCGAAAGGCCAAGTCGTCATTCTTAGTGGGTACATGCTAATTCAAGAAGAGAAAATAGTCGCAACATCACGAATATAATAAGCCTCATGTCATCACCATTGTAACGAAAGATATCGATGACATCGTGAAAACTATTGTTTTCGATTCGAACAAGTAAGGGAGTTTTCCCGCAGAGAAAAGCGTCATTCTCGATTTGATTGCGCGTGCAGTTACTTAAATTATCGACAATCTTTCACGTTTTCGTCGAAGAGTGTTTTTGTTGGGTGGGTTTAGAAAAAATTATTTCCGTCTCATATCGCAAGAAAACGAGCATCGGATGATATTGTCCTACGCCAAGGTCAGAACACTGCATGCTGTCGCTGTAAACAAAAGAGACGTTATTGTTCATCCGCATCACCTGTGCTATAGTGACCTAAATCAGCCATGAACTTCGTAGAAGACTACTTGGTTTTTGTGTTGTGCCTTTTGCTCCCAATCGCCGTGGGATTCGTCTTTGCCTGCCGAGGACAAAGGCAGAAAACGACAACAGAATTTCTCTTCGCCGACAAGAACTTAAGAAGCTGGATTTTGGCGCTGTCACTTGTGGCTAGCTACTTTTCGTCGGTTCTTTTGCTTGCTTCAGTAGCTCAAGTTTTTTCATTTGGACTGCAGTACATAATTTTAGCTTTATTCGCGTACTGGTTTGTTGCGGCTGTGGCACATGTTATCTTCATTCCCATGTTTCACCGTTTGAAGGTTACTTCTGTGAACGAGGTAAGCGCGTGATTATGTAACATTAATTCCAAGTTTGTCTGGCGTTTGGAGAACTTCTTAGCTCCCTTTCGGTGTCGTCTTGCCAGACCTTGCAAGGTGACATGCATGACATGAGATAAAACAGGCTCAGACATTTCCCAAAGGAAAAAGAAACGATACTTAAGTCATCCTTAGCTTATCACGAAATAATTATGTTTTAACTTTTCAACGAACTGGTAACTAGCTCGCTCAGTTCAAAAGAGTCTTCCATGAGTGGATATCACGTTGATTTTCTTCTTTCCTGCTTGCAGTTGAATTTTCATGTTGTTTTATTATTATCAGAGCTCAAGTTCCGTGTTGCACAATTTTTCCCACGAAAAACCTTGTTAATTGAATTATCAGTTGCTGTAAAGAAGACCTGACCTGCGTTTAGATATCCGAGCTTGCAATAAAAAAAAAAAAAAAAAAAAAAAAAAACGATTATTTTCACACTCTGAACACGTGCCAAGGGGGTGAGATTGTATCATGGCGCCATTTTAGAAAGAATATCATACAGATGTGCAATACAAGAAGAATACCAGAAATGTTTTCTTCATGGAAAGAGTAAATTGTTGTTGTTATTGTCGCTGTCAATTAGACGTTTTTATATTTTCCTCTTTAACCGATTATGCCCGAAACGTCTGAGTAACTCTAGAATTCTAATCCATTAATTAAGTGTTTGTAGACGACATATTGAAAGGGGATGCGTACGCTTTATGCGTTTTCGCAAAAATGTCACTAAAAAAGTCCATTGTGCTTAGAGCCCTATTAATTATATCATTTTGCAATATAAATTTGAGTAAAAAAGAGAAGCGCTAGGCAGTGATAAAATAAGGTGGCCAGACTTTTAATAGGTTCGAAGTTTGGAATCTAATACATGTACTCATCTTACCGGGAGAAACAACGAATTTACAGAAATATATTTACGATTTATGAAACTAACTTTGTGCATTTTCAAAATACATCGATCAGAATGTACGATTCGCAATTTACAAGATAAGTGTCAGTGTGTGTTTCTTAAGTTGAAAGAAAATAGCTCTTAGACAGGAGGTACTTTGACTTTCGAACACCTTGGATCTTATCTCTTACATCACTCTCGATCCAGGATTAAACCCAAATGACTAGAGAGGGCATTAAAAACAATTTCTCTGAATTAGCTGCTGTCTGTGCCCGAGAAATTTTGGTTTTTCTTGAAATCGGAGATAAGAATCTCATATCCTATATGTACCATAAGCTTAATGTATGGGGGGGGGGTACTTCACACAATTAGTATGCAGTCCTATTACTGCTCAATGAACATCAATACAATTGCCGTCAATAACAGGATAAATTGTGAAAAAAAAAAATCTGAAAAGGAGAGGAAAAACTATTGGTGATTAAAGTTTAAAAAGGTTACATTGAGGTAATAAATATTATAACGACGGAGACGCCGAGAAACAAAATTCGTGTTTGGTATGTGCCCTTGCTTTTGCCAAGTAATGGACTCATTCAATTTATTTTAATAGTTATTCATTTATTAAACAATTAATTAGAAAAGTTTTTTCCTTCTGTGTGGCATATTCCTTTTCTTAAAAGATTGACGCAATTTTTCCCTTCAAAAATTTGTTGCTCGGAAATTTAAGGAGATAAAATTTGTAATCAAACGCGGAAGACAAGTTCCGCTATCGCTGAACAATTCTAGAAGAAGTAATTCCAAATTTAAACAGTTTCATAAAACCATTTATTCTCTTTCCTTTAGTATCTAGAGGCTAGGTTTTCCGGTGGCGTTCGGTACGTGGGAGCAATCCTTTTCACAGCTACCTATGTAAGTTACGTGTGATCCGCTTTGTTTCTCAAATTTCTTCTCTAGAAACGGATATAATTTACTACTAGCAGCAATTCTAACCTTATAGTCTCTATGTCCTCTTGTCACGCAACACGAAAAGATATGACGAGAGGCGTTGTGTGACGAGATCAAACGATTAGATATCATCAGTACGATTATATATCATGGAAATGCCGCGTGCACTTTTATAATTCTGTACCATGAAGGGTAGAACCGGCATGGACAGAAGTCTTCTGAAATGCGCTTAATTTGATGTGCAGTCTACGCTAACAAAATAAAACCTTTCTTATTTTGCTGCTTCATAGAGCCTGTACTTATGTCTGGTCGTATACATACCTTCAGTGGCCATCAATACTGGTGAGGTTAATGACAGGTTCCTCTATGTCTAAGTGCTCTGTGTTTTTCCTGATAAAATTTTGTTAGTACTATCGTTATTTCATCTTTTACTGCCGGTTTTGTATTTCCAGTTGCTGGAGTTCCGTTAGCGGTCGGTATCGTGTCCACGGGTGTCGCTTGTACACTGTACTCTGCAATGGTGAGTTTAAAGACCCCTCCCTTTCACATTTTAACCCTAACAGTGACTAGTGTCAAATTTCTCCTTACATCGTCATTCCTAAATCACACAATAAGGCCATGAGAATAAAGGAAATGATCTCCAACTAAAGAACCTCTTGATTGTTGAACAAATTCTCCTTGTCAGCACCTCATGGAATGTATAGAGAACAGTATGGAGAATATGCATTCTAGGGTGTAAAGGTTTAAAGGACCCCTTTCCTTTAAAATGGCGAACCTTAACATGGTCCAGATGGCAAACAGTTCAGAGAAATTTTAGCTAATGAACTCATTTCATTGAGGAAATGTAGCTATTTTTGACAGTTATGTGTTTGACAAGGGGGTTATGGTTTCCAAAGAAACCAAGTCTACAGTTTTTTTCGTTTTCAAACTCACATTTTCTCGCTGAAAAAACATCTGGCCAGATGTGACGGGAAGGATAACTAAAAGATAGCCAAATTAAAGATGATAATGCACATTTGCTCCTTTAACTTTCTTGTGCGTATACCTAACTAATATTACATTTCTGGTGAAATTATTTTTAGCTGCCAATTTGAAGAAAGGTTGAGGTTTCCTTCCTTAGTTTGAATGACACATGTAGATTAGGTGGTCAAAATTCAATCAACGGTTTAAATGTGAACAAGCACGTCCACTCAAGACAGTTCAAAGTACAGCTCGTTAGTATCAGCTTAATCCATAGATAATCATAGCCAGTAATCTTCAGTGACCTGGCAATACGCCCCCGCCGGATTTCATGAGTCAACAAATAACAAAGACTTCCGCTTACAACCTTTGGCTCAGTCCAAAAAAAAAATACATACAAACATCTTCACTGAGGTAGCAAAACGTATTGAGCAAACGAAAAAAGGAAACTGACATTTTTTCGCTACCCAGCCAAGGCATGAGACTAAATCGACCGGCTGTTGGGAAGGAGTTTAAATCAAACCGTTCTTGGCACATAAAGGAAGTAGAACACGGCTTTGGAATCTTGACAGTTTTCGAGTTTCGATCTTTGAATTGCTCCTAAATATTCACCGATGAAAATATTTAACCTCACCTTTTTTTTTTTTATTTTCTCTTTCCTTTCTAGAGTTCCTCGTCCTCTTCCTCTCCAAATACTTATAATGATTTAAGGCTTCGTTTAAACATATGATTATTACGAACAAGTTGAAGAGAGCGAATAATGGGAAATTCGTTCAAAACTTATAGGAAATTCAGAATTAGGGCATCAAATGTGGCACATGTAAGAAACCCTCCGCCAAGCAGTGACCAAAAAATAAGATCCTTTAAATTGAAAATCACGAGCCACTCTCTTTCGTCGAATAGCATTAACTTAACCTTTTTACACCCTGATATGAGTAGCTATATTTTCCATACTCTTTTCGATATATTTTCTTTGGTACCAACAAGGAGAATTTCAAGTTGTTCAACACTCAAAGCTTCGCAGCTTGGCGATTATTTCCTTTATTCTCTTGATCCAAGGGATGAAGTCTATATAGCTCGCAGGGATGGCATCACATGTGAGTTTAACTTGTTCCTTACTCTGAGGGTTTTTCTCCGGATCATCCGGTTTTCCTCCCTCCGCAAAAACCAACATTCCAAATTCCAATTTGATATAGAAACAGTGGACAAGAAGAGCCACCTTGTGGAATGTCCATTGCCAAATTATTTATTTATTAATCATTATTTGTTTATTTTAATGAATGATTCAGTGGTATTAGAGTGGTAGAGTTGTGCATCGCCTTTGAAGAGTCGCCCGTCTTCGATTGGTTTTTTCTCATTTCTCCTAAATTTTTTGTCTCTTTAAATAATGAGTAAAACTGATGTTGCTTTTATTGATTCATGCTTACTGTTTTTACAGGGAGGTTTGAAGGCGGTGGCGTGGACAAATGCAGTTCATCTGATTTTAATGGTGACTGGACTCGTCACGTTGTGCATTGTGGGTACAAACACTGCAGGGGGTTTTGGTCACGTGATTGAAGTCAACAAGGACCGAAAGCGAATGCTGTTATTTGAGTAAGAGGCACAAGATTTCGGGGATCTCTACTATTTATGATTTTCTGCGTGCTTGTTATTTATGTTAATTTGCGTGCTTCTTTTGGTAGTTTCAACCCAGACCCCACAGTTCGTGATACTTTCTGGACTCTATCCATTGGAGGAGCTATTACTGTTATTCCTGTGTGGACGGTCAGTCAGACAGCTGTTCAGCGGTATATCTCCACCAAGTATGTCGGCCTGGCTCGGAGGTGAGTTCTGAGAATTTAACAGTTCCAATCTTTTTTCTTCCTTCTTGGTGATGCATTTATTACTTGGAGAATTTCTTGTCACTCAATCCAATCATATGCAAATTTCAAACTGACGCGAATTGAGCGCATTCCTTTTTTCTTTGATTGCACCCGGTTACGTGAACAGATAGGTCAAACGTAAGACATGCGCAAGGGGATCAATTTTTACCGGCCGTGCTCCAATTTCCCGCGCAAAATCTTTTAAAGGAAAATATATGAAGCAGCCGCAAAATAAGCGAAAAAAAAAACTTAGAAGCGTTCATGTAAATCTTTAGAAAGAAAATCTCGAGATTTTTCGTACACAAAGCCTCCTTGACCACGGGTTTCTTTCCAATTTACTGTTTTGTTTTTAGCTTTCTGAAAACGCTACATGGTATTCAAACACCGCGGCCTAGTCACTTCTGTGGTTGTCTATAAGATAACTGGGTTTGACAGCCCGAGAGCATGTCACCTAGCTTCTAAAACGTTCTTATTGTTACCACAAAAGAGCTCTGATACGTAGCAACAATACCCGCTTTGGTTTAATTGGTATACTTGACTGCATAAGCAACATCCACTAACAAGAAAAGCAGACGTTATGGTTCATTTGACTGAGACAAATCGATTAATTTGATTCTGCAGAGCGGTGTGGATAAGTGTGCCAGTGCTTATGATCATAACAGGCTTAGCGTGTATCACTGGTCTCGTCATGTACGCCGTGTTTGCCAGCTGCGATCCTTTGATGACAGGAGCAGTTCAACGCAACGACCAGGTATATACGTACTGAAAAAAACACTTTATGGACGCTAACAGAAGTGTTAACAGGAAGATGGATTACAAACCTCAATATTGGCCCAAATCAACCAAGCTTGTTTGAAATTAGACAAAAATACGAAGGGCATTTGGTGATAGAGAGACGGGAAGGCCTAGTGACTAATCTGCACAACTCCACGTCCTATGACGTCAATATTGGGGGGTCCCGAGATCGTTCCCTCTCTCTCCCTCTGCTAGAAGCATGACCGACTCAGAAACCCTCAAAATACTTTTCCTCCCTTTTAGGTGCTGTTTTATTACATAAAGTATCGCCTTCAACACCTGAAAGGACTTCCCGGATTCCTCACCGCGTGTGTGTTCGCTGGATCTTTGAGGTAGAATATCCACCATTTTATTCTGAATCAGCGCCATTATGATGTTTGTATCTTTGTTGCTTACCTCTTGTGGCTTTATCAGTCGGTGCAAGTAAATATTTGAGCAATTTTCAATAATGTATAGAGTAACGTGACTGTATTGGGTGTGTTTACTTCTAACTGTGATTGGTCTAGGAACCTCGCGTAAACTAATCAAAAAAACTTGCGCAATTTTCCATTCAGAGTAGACAAATGCGTACAAGGATTTCAATGGTTTTAGTGGCGAAGCTCTGTGGTTAGTCAAGAAAACTTGCGGCACACTCGGTCAGCCAATCAAAAGCAAAGTTGATATCAACAATGAATTCGTCGAGCGAGTTTTGCAAGAATCACCTCAGTGATGGCGGTAAATGAATGGAAGCCATAAAGTTTAATTATAAGCGCGTTATGTCGCGTTTCTGACGCGTTTCTGAAGCGTTTCTTGTTCACTTGTCTTTGCTCTAACATTTCACTCACTGCTTGTGATATTTCTTACTTTTGACCGACCGCGGTGATTATATTAGGCACGCACCAAGGTGACACCACAGTCTTTTTCTCGCCTATGGTACGTTGACGAGACATTTTCTTCTTCCAGCTTCGTGTCATCAGGACTGAACTCTTTAAGCTTGGTCATTTTGGAGGATTTTCTAAAGAAATGGTCAAGAAAGATTGACGACTTCGACTCGGTGAAAAGTTGCAAACTGATCAGTAAGTAAACTAACTTTCCATTTTTTCAAGTATAGAGCCATTCGTGCAAATTTGAGTTTGATTCATTTGGTTTTCTCTTTCAGCTGTGATTCTGGGTGGGACAGTGATAGGAGGAGCCTTTGTTCTTCACCATGCAGGAGACGTAGTCCTTCAGGTTGGTTAAAAACCCTCTTTGCATTACAATTTTTGCAATGATCTAACTTGCCAACCACTTCCACGCAGCTCAGGGGTGGGGCATGGGACCGCTCAATTTTTTAGCAAGAACTCAGAATTTTGCTTTTGTCTCATTTCTAGACAAGCTAGTTAACATCTAACTCCATTCCAAGACTGACTGAAACATTTAACATTTTACTATCTCCTTTTTCCGCTAAGGACGAGTTCAGGAACCCATCGAAGAATTTTGAGTTTACTCAGTCGCTCTCGACAAAGGCTTTACAAATGTTCCAACTTTGATAATCTAATTTTCTTTATTGTAGGTGTTCTCTGGTTTGCTGTACATCACCGGTGGTCCGTTACTTGGCATCTTCACTCTCGGTCTTCTGGTATCACGAGCAAATGCGAAGGTAGCCAAATCAATCACAAGGTTACGCTCGTTCGCGTTTCGTTCATCCAATTTAAAATACGAAATCCGCCCTAAGCTGGAATTGTACCTCTGTCATGTTTCTCTACCAAGGCACACTAATATTTCAAAGTTTCTTATGAATCAAATAGCAGGGTCATTTCTGGAAGTAACACATGCAACCTAGACAATCACGACTCATCTCCTTCGATTTCATTTTAAAAAGTCGAAGTATTCATTGTTAACTTTCCATTGCATTCCTTTGTTTTAAATGGGTAGTACAAAGATAATTACTCCCCTGCCCAGCTCTCCCCCCCCCCCTAACTCCATGAAAACCAATAATCGCGTTGGTAGACTCTAAATTATTATTTGCACCTTTCGTTTACAACCTTTTTTATTTCTCACGTAGGGCGCATACCTTGGAGTAGCCAGCGGTCTGGCCATGACGATCTGGTTATTTACTGGAGCTCAGCTCTACCCGCCAAACGAAAACTTCGGCCCAGTCTCAGTCTCGGATTGCTCTCCTGAAATATTGAACAAGTCTCAAGCGGCCACGTAGATTACTCATTTGACGCGCCGTGATCGTGGCTAATTTTCAAAACCAGTATTTTGATCGTATATATTGCTTTTTATAACACTAAGACTAAGACTATTTCACTAAATTTCACGAGGTTTCTGTATAAATATAAAAGTGTGTTGAGTAATCTACGTCACAATGGGAGGGACCGTGACGTAGATTACTCATTTGACGCGCCGTGATCGTGGCTAATTTTCAAAACCAGTATTTTGATCGTATATATTGCTTTTTATAACACTAAGACTAAGACTATTTCACTAAATTTCACGAGGTTTCCGTATAAATATAAAAGTGTGTTGAGTAATCTACGTCACAATGGGAGTGACCGCTGACTGAAGATAAGTTAGCCGTGATTACGAAAATTAATGGCGGAACGGTTTTCAAATCGTAATTTCTCACCCTAGAATTGACTTTCAACCAAAATTATTACTGAAAAGGCTTTATTAATCACTAAAAATTCATATTATAATGAAATAACTGAATTTTCGGGTTTTCAAATTATAGGGCGGTTTCATCAGAGTGCTCCTTTAACTATAACTGCTACATTCCTTTTTTTCAGCAACCCAATGGCCAGATTCTACAGCACATCGTACTTGTGGTACTGTGCCATCGGCTGGTCTGTCACTATGTTAATAGGAACCGTAACAAGCTATTTGCTAGGTGAGAGACAAATAAAACAAGTATGAGTAATGTTTGAACCTTGTTCCCAGGACCTTCCCTGAGGAACCTCTGCCGGAGACGACGCCAAAATCAGTAAAAAGTTTAAGTATACAAAAAAATACATTAAACGATCTTTTTCTCCTGCTTGTTAGCTTGTTTGTTTGCACTAAGGTCTGCAAAGCTTTGAGCGCCAAACTGGCATCGCAAACTATCTTTACGACTGCCAACAAGGGTGTGACAACTCAGTTAAGATTCCTTATTCACTGCTTGGCTAAAAAAAAGGAGGCATGTGTCCTAAATAGCCGCACTTGATTTGCCTCTGTCATCAGAAACCGCAGAAGAAAGAAAAGTAGGCGTGGATCCCAAGCTCGTATTTCCGGTGAAGTTATGGCTCCTGAGTTGGTTACCAAGCCAACGAAAGAGATGGAACTCCAAAACAGGCCTGCCTATGTCAGATGACAAAGAGGACTGGGTTCAGCTGGGGGAGAGAAAGCATCCAGGTTCCACAGAGCAGGTGAGAAGTCATGCTTTTCATTTTTCTTCATTGTTCATTAACCGACATTTGAAACAGACATAATTGTAGGTCATTTTCGTCGAACTGAATAAACAATTTTTCAACCGATCACGAGGTTTTTACACGCATTTTTTCACACGCCTGTCACTAGTAGCGCGTTTTCCCGGACTTTGCTCCCGCAGCTCGTTTTAAGTACCATTTTCTCCTGCGCTAAGCGTCAAGACCAGAAAGCACCCGGCATTTTCACGACAAGCTTCAAATTGCAAAACTCTGCTTTGACATTACGTGTTTAAGGGACGTATTGAATTTTCACGACAAGCTTCAAATTGCAAAACTCTGCTTTGACATTACGTGTTTAAGGGACGTATTGAAAGCACAACAGGTTGCAAATGTGGCAATTGATTGGATTACAAGTGATTGCAATACTTACAATCCGCATTATTCTTCACCATCTTTAGCAAGCTTTTCTCCCTCATGGTTGAGTCTTGTATCCAGACCTTTCACGGCCAAGTGGCGATATATTTTAGTTAGAGTTAAACGGTAGGATCTGGGTACGAGGTTAGGTTTAAAGATAGCTTTTTGGTGCTCCTCTTACTCTCCTAACTCATACCATACACGGTAGTAACTTATAAATGGATACTCCAAAATCAGGTTTCCGAGTAAGGACTGGAACCTATTATAATTTTTCATTGACTTGTTTACTAAAAATCATAGGTCCCAGTCCTTTCTCGGAAACCTGGTTTTGGAGTATCCTTTGAAGTCACTGCTGTTTTCCAAGGGTTTCAATAACTTTCCAGAGGCGGCTGTCGATGGTGTAATGGGCGAAATTTGAACACGAGAGCCTGCTCGACAGCCCTCATTATTTTCCGCGAATTTCACCTGATTTTAAACCTCATACGCTTGAGCCCGCGTTGTCTACCAGATACCTTTGACGTAGCATTTCGTTATTCAGCTCTGTCGATACCGTCATGTAGTATATTGTTTGCAGTAGTGGTTTTTTCACATTTTTTTTTTCCTTTTTAATTTCAGATTCCACCTGTAGGAAGGCAGTCATATCGAACAAGTGTTGCATGATCGATTACAAACACGATAAAAAACAACAACAAAAAAAAGCGGCGACGCTGAAGGCCTCAACGATAACCTTGACTGAGGTTGCTAAGATGTGGAGCTAAATACCTAGTGAAAGTTCACGGTGGATCGTTTTAAACTTGACAGCTAATAATACATCATTCACTGCATAACACCGTTAGTGGTGTGCAAGATTCACAATGAAACTATGCGCGTCCGCAGATGTCAACAGACTTTGACAAGTGTTTGGTATCGCTTGCAAGAACCATAGCAACAACCATAGCAACAACAAAAATGGACACATCATTTCCGTCAATAGGGGAATGTCAGTTTACAAATACAACTTTGCATCCGTGGACTTTAACAATGAAAATACTAAATTTACGTTTAAACTAGATTCTGTGAATTTAATATCACCAGTGTATTTTTCAGACAGTTATTTATTTAAAAAAAGGGATCAGCTCCATATGCTTTTTCTTGCCCGGTATGGCCCAGAGATACTTAGAAGAGCCAAAAAGAATCTGGAGGAGGGGGGGAGGGGAACCATTCTACTTTTGATGTTTGATTACTGAACGCCTAAAAAAGAAGATTGTCATAATCACTACTGGAGCCAACAAGAACTTGTCCCACTTACTCACAGATGAGGGCAGGATTGAGTGCTCAATATTGGGTGTTGTAAGACCAAAAGCAAACAGATCACAACGGCCAATCAGAAGAAAGGAAAACACCTTTAAGAGCCAATGAGAACTCAAAGTAAAACAAAACCAAACTGCCTGGCAATCAAGTTGAGATTGGTTTTAGTTTTACATCTGATTGGTTGCAAAAATGGTGCAAGTTTCTCTGGACCAATCATAGAGCAAAGTAATGCAAAACAAAACAAAACAATCCCACATTACTTTTGACACTCAGTTGAAGATTGCTCCAACACTTTTGGAGTCTGACAATTTCAATGCAATTATCACCAAATTTGAATTACTTTTTTAATAATTATTATTCAAAATAATATAAACAATTTAAGGAGTTGTTTTTTGAATGCAGCCTATGGTTTCTGTAAAAATTACAATAAAAATTATAACAAAACTTCAAGAATTGGAGTTTCACAGAATCATTTCTATGTTCCATCATTGTGTTAACTGTCATTGTGAGCCCCTTTGTGTACATGGGCTATTTTGAATGGATTGTTTTTCTACAATACCTTATCATTAAAGAGTACCTAAAAAAACCTATATAAACATTTCTGTACAGTGAACTACCTTCATTTCAAACCTTATGAAACTAATTCAAAAGCATAGACATACCATAAATACAGGAATAATCAACAAAAAACAGAAACATAATGCATTGCAGAATATCTATCTTCCCCAGTATTGCAAAGATATTTGTATTGGTCCACAATCATCTAGACAAGACAAAAACACCACCGACTGAAGATGTGTGGATTTTTCACACATTTGAATCCAAGAACATAGATGGCTCACTAACCAACATGTCCCTGTTGACCAACAATTGACTCAGTATTACATGCAATCAACATGTACCATTTGAACTTGTTCCCAGAGGATTGTGTGTACTGTTAATCAGCCCTTTTCTTGTGTCAAATGCAGGATTCAGTGCATTGTGTTTGAGTACACTCAACTAAGAACACCAACTCCACTCTGTAAACCTCACTGTAAATCACACTGTACCATAACATGCTGGGCATTCCTGTCAGCTTCAGTACAATGCACAACCAGATTCTCTTATGTACGGAACTTGCACGATCTGAGAGCTTTTTATACCTAGAATTCCAGTGCACCATTGAAAAAGTCTGGGTGAAAAGACCTGAAGCCAACTCGCAATTCTCCCCCATCAGTGACTTGCACAGGATAAATACCAACTGTTTTACCCTTCTCATGAGCAGGATCTTTCACAAATCCATTTTCTAAAGAGAACTTCCAATTGTGCCAAGGACACACAATGCATGGCAAGGCTGCCTGGCCCAACTCTTCAATGTCTCCAAGATGAAGAGGGCCACCTGCACAGAACAGAAATCATTAAACCTTTTAACTCCCAAGATCTCATTGCAGATTCTCCCCTCTAGCTGCTTACACTTTTCATAGTAAATTAGTTAAAGAACTTGGTGTTTGATCAAGATTACAACCACTACCTGATCAGTTTGAGTACTCTTATTAACTGTTTGCACCGTGCAATGATAAATTTTCTGTGAGTATTACATGCTAGTCTTTAGATCTTCTTTTATTTCCTATTTTTTTTCCCCAAGCTTTCAGCACATATAGTACTCAGTTTACTAGCTTTTCAAACACTTAAATCATGAGCCTTGGGGTTGGAGAGATTAAGAGACCACTGCCCATGTACACTTGACATTAAATAAATTATCTTATTAAAACTGGATCATTGGATAATGCAATTCAATACTTTTTAATTGCTTAGCCATTATGGTATATGAGCCAATATACCATAATCTAATGTCTGTACATTGTAATATCCGGTTTCTTCTTACAAAATAAAGTCAAGAAGATTTGTCTAGTAACTTGGGGGCGTTTTTTTTTAATAAAACAATTACTCCACTCGCACTTGGTAGATATGAGATGATTATAGCCAACTCGGCACTACGTGCCTCATTGGCTATCTATCATCTCATATCCAATGCGCGCTCGTGAAATAATTGTTAATTATTTCGCGGACTGACCCTTGCAACTACTCACCCATGTGTGGACACATTTCATCCATAGCATGAACTGTTCCTTTATATTTGAACAATGCAATTTTCTGATTATTTACTGTCACCAGTCTTCCAGTACGTCTCCTAGATTTTCTCTTACCAAATAACCCCGGGGAGAAGGGATCTCCTTCATCACTGTTCAATGGTGCAGTACAACTAGTAAGGTCTGGAAGATCTATAAATGCAAGATGTAAGTGAACTTATAGGTATTTTTTTTATCAAAACACCCACCAAGTTGAACTGAAAACAAAATCTGGTAACATGGGTGAAGGGTGCATTGTAGTTTTTAAAACACTAGTGATTGATTAGCAGTAATATGTATTACAGAGTATGCCAGGAATTTACACAAAACAGTATTTTATATCATCACCAAATAAGAAAACACCAGGTTGAAAATAAATCATAGTCATGAATGATACTCAAATTGCTTGATATCACTCACCCTAACAGTTCTAAAGTTTTAGCATAATTATATCTGATTACATTAATGTATAGATTATAATCAAAATTGGTATGTCACTACAAACATGCTTATAAAAGTAATATATTGTCTGAAGACATAGTGAAATTACAAATTTCACAAGACATCACTCATGCTCTTCCATTACCTACTATATATATATATATAGAAGAAATTAGATGCCAGCCAAAAACAGCCATGAACGGCTTACTCTACAGAAAAGAATCATTAGATAGTTAGTGGTTTAGTGTGTCACTAAAAATATTCCTATGAATATTTTTCTACTGACCATTATCTTAATTCTGGCAACCAATTTACAATTTTAGATCACCGAATAGCAACTTTTGAAAAGGTTGAGCTCAAAGCCTTGATAAGCATTATCATTATGATAATATTTTCCCCATAACTCTTGTGATCAGATGTACTGAGCAATTTCCCTTACTAGCAGCTGCTTACTTCCTTATAAATTAGTTGAGAGAACTTGGATCGCATTACAATTTAAACTAGCTGATAAGTTTGTCTTTTTCCATCACCTTTTGGCTGCTTTTAGTAAAATGTAGTAAAATTGTGGGCTGGAGTTACTTGTTTGCTGGTAAAACAACAGGCGATAGAATAGTCCACATATACAGGAGAAGAAAAGCAACACACACAATCATTTTAAGACAAGAGGCAACCCACTGGCTTAACGACTTCACATATTTATCCATGTCCACAAGTTTGTCGTATTCTGACTCCAGCACTTCGTCTTCAGTGCCAACTATACCTTCAGGGGTGTAATAGTTGCTTATAACCATTAAGAGGTGTAGGCAAATCAAAATAAGAAAAAGGTAAAACAAGAGATATGTTGAGGTGACCAGTAGCTTTTCCTCACTCTCCTGGACAGTTGAAGGGTGGTTCTCAACTTGGGACTGGAAATTCCAACAGTCTACAATAAGATTGGTGTTAGTTAGAAGATGCTGCACTGAAGCTTCTTGAAGTACGCTGTATACCAGCAGTGAAAATGTCACAAAAGCGTCAAAGATCATGCTCAGTTGAATATGGAAATTAAATTCTGTAAGGATTAAAAAATTCCAGCTAGGATTGCAGGCAGAATAGGGATAATGCTGCAAGCAGGTCCATCCAAAATATACAGAATATGTCGTAACAATGCCAGCTTGAAGGAGTCCAGTTTCTCGCACTTTGGGATGAATTGACAAGAGTGATGCAAAAGTACAAAGCAAAACAACAGTTGTGACAAATATTAGGTTTGTTCTACAATCTTTTGAAGTGGTATAAGTGGCATAAAAATACACAATAAATGCTAAAGAAAAAGTGTATAACAGAGACGTGAAGAGTAACATTGAAAAATACCACAATTTTGGTCGCAAGGAGACTTCCATTCTTTCCACCCAATAAGCATTGAGAGCTTTTGCTAGATCAATGATCAAAATGGCCTGAATAATCATAACAATGAAACTTCCAATCCAACCAACATGCATTATCGCATTGCTGAGGTGTCCTTCGGGAATGAGAAGTGATAAGAGAACACAGAAACAAAACAGATGAAACTTGATGAACCAGAGACCATTCTCAAGCCAATTGCTGAATGTCGTGAACACAGTCAGCTGGCAGTTGATTATTGCCAAGAGCAAAAAGAACACCATCATTCCAATGAAAAACCGGTACAGCAAAATGTGCCCTACCAAAGTATCGCATTTCCCTTCACTTGTATTTCTGTTACAGTACAAAGAATTTACCACAAAGAATCTTCTGAAGGCTGGTAAAAATGTAAGTGCTGACATCAAAACACCAAATAAAATAAATCCAATGTAAATAAGCTTTCCTTGTTTAGGTTTCACAGTTGGAATACCACAGACACCCATCTTGAAAAAGCTATCATTGATGTAGTTTCTCAGGTCTGACTCATGAGCCTATATCATGATATTTCGAGAAAAATGGAAGTCAAAATAGGTTCTTTAAACAAGGTTCTTCAGTTACAGAGCTTCTCTCCCAGTTGCTGGTTCAATCCTTCTCTATGGCAGTCTTCATTATTCCAGTTGAGGTGTTCCTGTGTGTCATGTACACACAAAACCCACAGTTATCTCAGACTAACAAACAAACAACTAATTGGTGTTCCTATTTGCATTGCTTGTCAATCAAAACATATGCCATCAGCTACTTCCACAAAGGTTGATTCCCATACTCTCAAATAGAAGAATCAATGAACAAACAATTATGATGAACCACTGGCAGAAAACCTCAGATCTTTTCTTTCTAAGTTAGATGATTTAAGAATGTTTTTTTTAGCAGGTACCTGTGACCCTTTACAATAAACATACAGGTGGGTCACAGCTGTGACCAACACAACAATTGCATGGATAATACAATTAAAAATAAACTGTCATTTCTAATACAGAAATATGACCAACGATCTTTGAAAAAAGAATTCTAATCAGTTCAGTATGACTGCAACGGCTCAGAGTGAAATGTCTCCTTCAGCAGTAACCTAGACAATTTATCCGTCACATTACATTACATTATTTTGTAACTCAAGATCTTACAATCAGACGAGAGAGGACTGGCGTAATTTTAGAGGGAGTTGGAAACAAAACAATAAATAAAAGCGGAATCCTTTTTTCAGAGAAACTTATAGTCCTTTGGGCCCAAACGCCGTAAAAGAGTAGCTCTGGTTACCAGTTGCATCAAATCAAATTACATCAAATCAGTCCCGGTTTTAATATAAGGAAACCTAAACTACATGGAAAAATGAAAGATTATTTTTTTTAGTCCAATAATTGCGATCGCGCAACGCGCGATTGTCGACAGAGCACTACAGAAGCTTTGATCAGCAGCCATACAATAATCTGAAGCAGAGGTCGATCGGTTGGAAAAGATTATTTAAAAACATCTAGAAAAACCGTTCTTAAAAGCGTATTCTCTCTGAGTTAAATTGGCTAAAATAAGCGCTCGTACATGTACATGATGGAGAAACAGCAAATTAAATGATTTTGGGATCTAACACGGAATAAAAAACCACACAAACCTTCGTATCGAAGATCCTCAACGTTAAAGTACAGGAATTCGTCGTTACTTATAGCAGATTCTGCCATTCAGCGAATCCGCGAAAACCCACATGCAGCCTACTTTGCCGCCATTTTGTAATCTACTCTCCAGTACTTTAGCGGTTCGTTTCCATAGCGACTAAGTTATTGTAGCGCCATATTTTGATCCTCGGTTATTTGAAACGAACAACACATCAGAAAATAGATACGACGACCATGATTGCAAGCTTGTTGGCCTAGAATTGAATACTTGCAACTTACATTAGTATTATAGCGTGTTTTGTGCGACGACAAATCCGCGTGCGTTTGAACTCGATCTTCTATGATGCCGAAGTCACGGTCAAGAGGAAAAGAGAATTTTCAGTTCTTGAAGCAATTTCTTGAGGATTCCTCCGCCAGCGATTTGGAGCTCGATAGAGAGAAAAACATCGCTGAAACATCCACGAAGCGTAATGGTAGTTCTCAAAGTGAAAGTGTGAAAAAAGGAAAAGATAGTGCATTCCCAGTTGGAACATACCCGGTGTTGTTCAAGAAGACATGTAGAAGTAAGAGCTGTCAAACAAGGTTGTCATCATTTCCTCTTTTTCCATTACCAGAGGAAACAGTGTGGATTAGTGACGAAGAAAGAGAAACGAAGAAGAAACCTCTGATTTCTAGGAAGAAGAAAAAACAAACCAGATCTGCCCCCAGGGATGCAAACAAAGATACTATAAAACAAGAGGATGAAACTCAGAAACTCGACAGCAAAGTGAAAAATCCTGATGGGACTAGAAAAAGCTTCAGATCAGAGCACCAACTTAAAGAAACTGATAACCCTGTTATAAAGACCTGGCTTCATAAAAAAGCCATTGTGGCTCGCAAGCAAAAAAAGTTGGAACGACAGGAAAAACGTGCAAAAAGGGCTGCTCTACAAGAGGAGGCCCGTATTCAAGCTGAAAGGGCTTTTGAATCCATTGAAAGGGTTGGGTTATGGCTAAGAAAGAAACGCAAACAGGCAAAACTTGAATGGAGGAAAAGTCACACCAGGGTCACACCTCAACAAGGGGATGGCAGTTTACACTCAAGTGAATCTACTTCACTACTACCCCCTTAGTATAGGGTTGTGAGGAGTTTTAAGTGCCAAGCAGGGGAGGTGTCTGAAGATAAAAGAGAATCAGTGCCTAAATCAATGTTAATGACTAAAGAACCTTTCTCAGCATCCCCTGCTGAAGATCAAAATTATAGTAAAAAAAAAGTACTTCTTGATATGAAAAGTGAATCAAGTAAGGAAGGAAATGCTGCCAATCTTGTAAAGCAGCGTGCAAAAACTGCTATGGATCACACAAAACAAATGTCCCTTTCTCATCCTAAAACAGCCACAAAAAGACCAAAAACAGCAAAGGAAAGGCCCACCAAGAATGCTGACACCAAGGCAAAAGCAACTAACGCTGCATCCAGTCATGACTCGCTGAAAAAAATGCAGGCATTAAGTTATGATGAATGGTTGAAACTGAAACGAAATGGTGACAAGGAAAAAATGATAAAAAAGAAACGTGACTTGATAGATTCTCATTTAGAAGCTGTTATCAAAGAACTTGGAAAGAAAAGGGTAGAAAAAATTATGTCTCCAAGAAAACATGTCGATACAGGTTTGAAAAAATTTTCCTGTTCCCCTCAGCAGCTTCCTCAATCAGATAACTCAAAGCTCAACAAAGCCAACCCATACCGATGGGTTTTGAGTAGACAACCCCGCCCTGAGCCACAGGGGTGTGACTTTCCAGAAACCCATGGTGCTGACAATGCTACAAGTGCATCTGGTAAACACAGTGTAGAGAGTAATAATGATACTAGTGGTGTAGAACAGCATCAAATTTGTCAAGAAGTGAATGACACATATGATGAACTTAAGCCTTCAATAGAGAAGGTTAAGGGCATTCTTGATTCAGAGATAAAGAAGCTCAAAGAATCTGGAAAAGGTCTGGATAAGCCCATAGATTCACCAGTTTCATCTTCTACAACACCAGACGAGTCCACCACTGAGGAACTGAGACTATCACAGCCTATGTCTGCTAGGCCTTTTTATGCAAGACCAACAACAGCCCCACCTCTTACCACAAAACCTGGCAGCACCCACCTGACAAAGGAGCAGAAAAAAAAGATTGCAGCAGATCTTGATGTACTTGGAATTTGTGGTAGTGAATCATCAGAAAAAGATGAAATTGAAAAAGATGAAATTGAAATAGAAACTGTTATTGATGTTGAGAAAGATACAAAATCCACTGTAAGAGAGAACTATTTTGACTATGGAAGTGATATTGACCCTCCCACAATCCAACCACCAGAATTTGTCCAATAGCTACTGAAAACCAATGTAATATCATGGAATCAAGATGAATAAGAATCCTCCCCTGTTGTCAGCTTCACTTCCAATTGGTATAAGGGAAGCAAAAGCTTTGGTAACACCTCACATATCTTTGGATTGTCTATACACAGAACAATACAACAGGAATGTTGCCTAAGGCCAACCAGGCATTTGCAAAGACAAGGGAATAATAGGGACCTTAAGAAACCACGATGGCGACGGCAATGAGGACATGGAAAAACAAGAGATCTAATTGGCAGAACAATAGCTCAGCACATGCATTTTGAAACTTTGTACATTTCATAGCCATCCTATGCAAAACAACAACATGAAATCGCCAAAATTTGTGTCGTGTGTGAACCGAAACCACGATGGCAAATTATTTTAATTTCCATTTGGAACTCAACGGCTACTTTATACGTCATGCTGAAGTTGAACTGTGGCGCTGTATGAGACAGTAAGCTCCTGCAGCCATTTTTGAAATTCTAACTAAGAGTAGAAATTCATTTTTTAAACGAAGTCTTCCTTGGCGTCGCCGTCGTGGTTTCTTAAGGTCCCTGATGATTTCTTTGACACAACCACACACCCTATAGTCACACTGACATGCTTTTTTAACCCTTCAACTACCATGAGTGACCAAGATA